TCTGATGCACACATTTTTGCTGATAGTACAACTGCAATAACATTTAAAATGTCAGAAGCAGCTAATTTAATGGTGGTTCAGTGATGATATTCTAATTTTGGAGCGGCGTCAGTAAATGTGTCCCGCAACCTAAAGGAGACGAGGTGCTCTGCGTGTTCTGACCCACAACATGCCGGCAGTAGAGCTGCTAACAGAAGAAGATGAAACAGGTATGTTTTCAGTTTATTTAGCTCAGCAATGGTGGCCTGTGAAGTCCAAAAARGTGCATGTTTAATGCAGTTAGTTCGGWTAGAGTCGGGTCTGTATTCACACCAGAAGCAAACTGAAGTGAACCGCACCAGAGTTCATTTGGAAGCGGACCGAGACCACCTCAAAAAGCAGGTCTCGGTCCGGTTGTTTGATCCGCACCAGAGTTCGCATGAGTGTATTCACACCTGCACAAAAGGTCCGGACCAATGCTGGAAACGAACTCTGGTTCATTTAAAGCGGAGCAAATTATCAGGTCTGAATATGACCTTAGTCTCTGTCTCTTTAAGAACCTCCTACCGATTCTGTCACGCCCATTTCTGCACGTCATCAAAACAGCTTCATGCTGTTTACAACCAGTCAGTGCTGCCAACTTAGTGACTTTGTCGCTAGATTCAGCGCCTTTTTAGACTGCTCTAGCAACTTTTTTCCCCAAAAAGTAACTAGTGTCAAAACTAGCATCTTTTCCCTGTGTTTTTGGAGACTTTTGCGGCAGCACTTTCCAAGCACTTTCCTCAGCAAGCACTGAGTATGGCGGTGAGCCCCTCCCCCAAGCAGTCCGACTCACTGAAGCCCCACAGCAACCCCAGTTGCAGCCAGCCGAGAGGAGACCGCTGCAAATTAATCACGCATGTGCAAAGCTGCAGCTGCTGCTGCCGGGTTTACGAAGCAGGTTGCAACTAATGTTTTTTCTCTGACACTGTCTCTCTAAAATAAATCCCTGGACCCAGCTGCATTTGACTCACAGATCAGTCACTTCCCATTAGTCCAGTGTTAAATTCTCTTTTGTTCAGAAAGCTATCAGCCGTAAAGGGGCTTGTACTATATATATATATATATATATACCGTGTTTTTCGGACAATAAGCCACGACATTTTTCCTGAACTTCGAACCATGCGGCTTATAGTCTGGAGTGGCTTTTACGTGGATTTTTTCTTCAGCCACTAGGGGGATCTTTAGCCGGAGGTGGGTGCTCTGTAGCGGAGGTGGGGGCTCGGAGGTGTGGTTACCGCGCATAAAGGGAGAAAGACGAAACAGGCGCCATTTTATTTTAGCTAGTAGCAGACACGACACGACACGATGGATCTTCAACAGACACGATATTTCTCTTCATATTCAAACGCGCTCACCATGGAAAAGAATAGAAGATCTTCCTATGATGCCGCTTTTAAGCTGAAGGCTATTGAAATTGCGCAACAGGAGGGAAACAGAGCCGCTGCACAAAAGCTCGGCCTGAACGAATCGATGGTTCGGCGTTGGAGGCGGCAGCGGGAAGAACTCGTTCAGTGCCAGAAGACGAGAAAAGCTTTCAGAGGACATAACAGTAGGTGGCCTGAACTGGAAGATCATCTTGAGGATTGGGTAAATACCCAGAGAGCAGACGACCGAGGTGTATCCACCGTGCAAATCTGCCTGAAAGCCAAAGCAATGGCTCTCCAGATGAACAATGAAAATTTTAATGGCGGACCGTCCTGGTGTTTCAGGTTCATGAGAAGAAAGAACCTGTCCATCAGGACACRGACAACTCTCTGTCAGCAACTCCCCCCGGACTACCAGGAAAAACTCACAAATTTCAGACAATTTGTTGAAACAAAAATCGCAGAGAACGCCATCGGACCGGACAACATAATAAATATGGATGAAGTTCCACTAACATTTGATATGCCTCTGACCAAAACCGTAAACAAGACCGGTGAGTCTTCCATTATGGTGAAAACAACAGGACACGAGAAGACACATTTCACCTGTGTGCTGGGCTGCACTGCTTCTGGAAAGAAGCTCCCCCCGATGCGATGGTGATTTTTAAGCGTAAAACTATGCAGAAAGACCAACTCCTGAAGGACATTGTTGTGAAAGTCAACCAGAAAGGATGGATGGTAGAAAATCTGATGAAGGACTGGTTAACGGAGTGCTACAGAAAGTGGCCAGGAGGATTTTCCCACCAGAARAAAGCACTGCTTGTTACGGACAGTATGCAGGCCAACATCACGGATTCGGTGAAAGCAGCCATCAGGAAAACAAACTCAATTCCTGCTGTTATTCCTGGAGGTACAACAAAGTTTTTGCAACCCCTGGACATCAGTGTGAATCGTGCATTTAAAGCAGCCCTCAGGGGTGAATGGGAGGCTTGGATGACTGATGGGGACAAATCCTTCACAAAAACTGGCCGAATGCGAAGAGCGACATTTCCTGATGTCTGCCAGTGGATCCTAACAGCGTGGAGCAGAGTGAATGAGTCCACCATCACCAATGGGTTCCGAAAGGTTGGACTGCTACGTGAAGAGGACACCACAGCTTCAGAGCCAGCATTACCCCGGGAGGACAGCGACAGAAAGCAACACTGAACAGATACCGCTGTGTGACGCAGCTTTTCAGAGCTTGTTTAACTCCGATACTGAAGAGGAGGACTTCGATGGTTTCAGTGCGCCGGAGGAAGATGAATGAGAYGTTTTGTTGGACCAGAAACTGTTAAACTACCAAAACAAGGTCAGTTAAATTAACTGTATTCCCCCAAACTTTTTTTTACCTTTTTACTTTTTACCGGTAATTCCGAAAGGTTTGCTTTTTATGTTTTAATTCCAGACCTCTCGCTTTTTCTTCCGAGAGTTTTTATTATTATTATTTTGTACCGGTGAACTTGCCAACCTTTTTCTTAAAAATAAAGGTGATGTTGACTTCACTTTTTTGACCACAATTTTGGGTGTACTGTTTTGTTTTTGTTTTTATTGATGGGGGTGTGGCTTATAGTCTGGTGCAGCTTATATGTTGATGTTCACGCATTTTTAAAAAAAAAATGACGGGTGCGGCTTATAGTCTGAAAAATGCAGTACACATAATCGTTTTTTAAAAGCTGTGTCATCCTTGGGATCCAAAAATACATTTCCTCAAAGGCATTTTTAAATCCGAAAAGGACTGGCCTGAGAAGTATTAGCTCAGCAGATGCGCAGTTTCACCAGTTGTTTGCTAGTTGTTGCTGCTGATAGCCTGCAGGAGTCGTGGGGGAGGCGTGCTCTGTGATGAAGAAGTTCAGCTTGGAGGCACAGCCCAGAGGAGGAGCTGCACCCAAAAGGTGGTTCTAGGGCCAACCAGTCGTTTCTGTTCTCCTGAATAGCTGCCACAGGACAGTACAGGATTTCACAAACATACATGAATGAGTCAAAGCAAGACTGTGTATGTTTTTGATGAGGGGACAACATTATAACATGATATAAAGCTCAAAAAAGTTGATTTTACATATTTCCTCTGTATTGATGTTAATGTAAACACTTTAATACCATTTACCGTACTATTACTGTTCATTTCACTGCAAATGCAAACAGTTGCAGTAGCAGCAGCTAGTTGTAACACTTCTTTTTCATCATGGGACACTTCTAGCAAGAATTGTAGCTATAATTTTTCTGCTGTTATAACCATGTAATGCAAAATTAGCAGAGTAAAAGTTTAAATAATAGAAACTGTTATGAAATTTAGATTTTCTTTTAATTATGGAGTTGTTTAAAGACAGCAAAAGGGTGGGGGTTTACTTTGATACTGATGAGCTAATCATGGTTAATAATTTAATAATAAAAATTAAAAATAATAACATTACTGCTGTTGCTGCTCTTCTACTGCAATAAAATGCTGTAGTTTGCTACTGTTGCTGCTCTTTGTGCTTACAAATATCCACAAGATTCTATGTAAATAGCCATGTCATGTAAAACTGATGGCGATGCTAAGTTTTGTAAAACAATGCCAACATGAACTTTTACAAAGTTTTAAAGATTTAAGTTGTTTTCAGATGGTAGCAAACCCATTTGTTTTTAGCTGTGTTTGAATTAGACACTGTCTCATCAACCCAGTCAGAAAAAAAACTATTTCTCAAACTGTGGCTGTTCAAAGTGCTATCTACAACAGGTAAGATATTGTTTCTAACTTTTATACTGAATGCCACATTATTACCAAAATTTCCCTTGTGAATCTTGATGGTTTACTTAAGTGAGATGTTCATCTTGTCACTTAAATGACTAAAATGTTTGTAAAAGCACATGACAGTCACACACATTTATCTGTGAATGAATATTTGCCCGATTTATTCACTTTTTCCTTCCCCCTGCTGTCACCTCTCTGTGTACAGAAAGCCATTTGGCTCAGATGTTAACCCTCACTAGGAGGGCTGTTTTATGACCAACTTTGTTCTTCATCAGAAATAAACCCTACATCTCCACTATCTCACTGTGGTGGATCAAAGAGCTTTCTACAACAGGTAAGATATTATTTGCTCATAACCACAATTTACAATGTCCTTTCATTAAATAAGTGTCAGAACATGAAGACTAGCATTCAGCAGTGTGTCTGATTGCACTTTAGGCTCAAACTCTCTGCTTCTGCAACATGCATCTAAGTCCTGCCTTCTCACTGGCTCAAGAAATGAAAGAGATTTGTCCTCAGTTTAGTTTAATCTCTGCCAATTTTTCTAATGTTTTGCATGATTAAAAGTCCATTTTTCACAGCAGAAATGGGGAGAAACTGATAATTTTAGAGAAATAAAAGTTTGGAAATATTTTAAAAGCACAATGTTTGGCTATCCACAGATATTGAAAGGAAACCATTTCCTAAATCTAGGATTTGTTCAAGCATGACAACAGATCCCAAAGCATTATGTTTTCTTATCTGCAATCAAACTTGTGAAGACAAATCTTATCTCCTGATGTCAGCTATCTGTGTCATGCTCACAGGATGTAAGCTAATGATCCCACACACGATGGCTGCCTTACCTTCAAGCAGCTTCTGTCCTCTCCTTCCTCTTCCAGGAAGATGTGGTCAACTCCGCCAGCTGTGGCAGCTATCCACACATAAAACAAGCAGCAAGAAAGTTTGAGCACCAGTGGCAGTGACTCTCATGAATCCACTCAGTAATGTCCTCATGAATCAAAAAGGAAGAAAAAAATCCTTAAATCAGCATCCAGTCTTTAGGAGTTGGACCACATGGTGCATCTTTTCTGTACAAACATGCTTCACAGTCTTAAAAAACATAAATAAAAAAGATTGTTGTAATATATATATATATATGTATATAAGTATATATACACATATATATATATATATTTCTTCATCAACTTTCAGGCATGTTTAAAAGTTATATCAATATACACAAAACCTGCCTAAATTTTTTGAAAATAAAAGTTTTCAGCAATAACTCTACTAATATTAGCTGAAACCTTTTTGTATCCTATTTGAGCTCTCTTGGGGGGGCATGTAATATTTTAGCTCCCTCCCAAAGCATCCAGGTTGCACAGAAGTGACCAAAATGTCTCTGCCGCTGTTTCAGCTGTCTAATTCCTTCCAGACAAATGTGTATGTGTGTCAGAGAGAGGGAGTGTGTGTGTGTGTGTGTGTGTGGAGCCTCCTTTATGGCTACTGTGACTCAAGAACACCCCCTTTTTAACCGGGCTCCAACAGATTGGTGTGTTGTTTTATTAAGAAGGGGGAAGGTTTTGGTGTAGGGGGTGTGTAAAGGGGGAGCAAGCGTAAATAGAAGGCAGCCGAGTGAAGAAAAGAGACTCGTCCAAACTCATTCAAACTCCAGAGGTAGAGAAACACACACTCGGTCACTTTCAGAGGCTGCCCTGCCCCTCCTCCCATTCAAACCCTACATCCCCAATGGAGCACAAATCTGCAAAGTTCAGAGCTGAGATAAACATTYAGACAGAAATTTTGATTCAGAAATCATCCCTGAACAAATTAAGACACAGATGAACCAGATGGGGTGAGTGTGAACGTGCTGTGGAAGGAAATTTGCACGTGAGCTGGACGTCGCAGACATGAAGTTCATGAGTGCGACCAGTAGGGGAAGCTGTTTAATACATCATGGATGAGGGGGCCTCCAGGTACAGTAGCTCCACTCTAATATCATCAATTCAACTATGGAAAAAAAAGAACAAGTTACTCAAGAAAATGTTGTATGGTGCAACTTTGGCTAAAAAAACCACTTGTTAGTGTTTTTCTGATGGGTAAAAAGAATAAAGTGTTTACAGGAAGAAAAAGAGTCTTAYATAACACAATCCAACATTTTTTAAGAAGCTGTGTTTACATTAATTTAATAAAAAACAAAAATAAAAGACAAAACATCATAAATGAAATAAAAGGAAGCAGAAAAAAGAAACAAACAAGTGTTTTAGTTTGAAACTATTACTTCCAACACCATATGTATCTTTCCAGACGAGTTCATTTTGATGAGTTTTCATCCCTGATAAATTGAAAGTTGAGCTCCCCTCTTTTTTGTAACTAATGAGAGATGTACAGAAGGTGACAGAGATCAAATATTTTGTGACGTTATCTTCAGAAAACAATGCACATTTCCTCAAGAGAATGACTCATTTGTCTTATGTTGAACTAGTAGTGCTTTTTTCTCAACATAACAGGTTAGTTTTATTTTAAAACTAACCTTTCTTTCATACATAAATTTTTTATAAATCAAAATCACAGTCTTTTACACAGTATTTTTTCATCAGAGGTTGGAACAGTCACGTTGGTGACTGATTCAAGCTAAACGACACATATCCAACGTTAGTCGTGGATTTGCTGTAGATCAGAGGGCTGTTTCACAAAAGCAGAATTGAGAAATCCAGAATGAGATAAATATAGGCTTGACATAACTTGATCAGTTCATTCTGGCTTCATGTGTTTCACAGAGGCCAAACCAGGCTGAAGAGGTGCAGCTTTGTCAAGCCAGGTGTAAGTAATCCAGGTAAATCCTCGTCCACAGATTTCTTCAAAAGACCATGAGATCGATCACAGATTCTCTGATTGTACACTGGAGAAACTGTTTGTGCCTTGCTTCTCACCAAATGACCAACATCTTTTGATGGAGGTTTATGAGAAAATGAAGCAAATCATACTAAAGAAAGGAAACACTGCCGGTATTATGAAGTAGTGTGAAAGGGCATGGCAAACAATAGGGAATCACCTGAATGCCTGAAATAAACATTTTATAACCACTACTCTTAATGGGAAACCTAATTAACAACTTTAAACTTAAAACTAAACAGAGGAAGTCTATAACCTAATGTGTCAATTCTTTGATTGTTAATTCTTTTTGTTCCACATCTGAATATTTCTACAGTACCAACATGACGGACCAAAGAGGACTTGGCAACAGGTCAAGATTAAATATAAGAACATTTTGTAGACTAGTAAGAATCTGGAACAAATGTAGACTACAATGTACAAATGACTTAGAAGCTGCTGCTCACATGTTTCATCCCTGTTTTTGTTTTAGTCCTTGACTGTGTCTCACCCACAGAAACTGCCTCCTTCACACTTGGTACATGATTCCACTGAATATGCAACATAATCCCACATTTCTGTAGGATGATATGGACCGCTCGGTGCAGGGTTGAATTTTGGGACTCGGCAGTCTGCACAGAGGATGCCATCCTCAGAAAACGTAACACTCATGAAGGTAATTGTTGGGAAAAGCCAACGGGTCGGACCTGTTCTGAAATACTAAAGTCTGAAAGCCCTTCTCAGTATTAGTGCTTCATCATCAACAGTGTCATGGAGCTACTTCTATGGTTTGACTTCATTGACAACACCTTTGCTTCTTTATCAGTCATTTTTCAAATCCCCTCAACACATTATAGTCTATTAAAGGTCTTTTTGTCAAACCTGGGTTGTAAGCGCACCATCAAACCAATACCATGGATTCATTTTGACATTCAGTCAGGTACTATTATTATTTTAACATTATGATGGTTAGAATTGTACATTTTATAATTCTCCATGTGGGCATTGTTACTGTTTGAATGTGTTTCTGAATCCTGCTGTGGTTCCAAGTTTGACAGAAATAACTTTAGATTATCTGTGTTGAGAGGATTTGAGAAATGACTTAAAGAAGCAAAGGTGTTGTYAATGAAGTCAAACCATAGAAGTAGCTCCAAATACATGTCCTTTAGAATGGTGTGCCTGTTTTTGAATGACTGTTGATGAWGAAACACTTATAATGAGAAGGGCTTTCAGAAAGGAAAGCGTTTCAGGAGTGTTTCAGGACAGGTCCTGGTTGGCTTTTCCTTTTCCATACCTTCATGACTGTGTCCTTTTCTGGGTATAACATCCTCTACCTGTGCAGACTGCTGAGTCCCAAAATCCAGCACCACACTGAGTGGGCCATATCATATGTTGCATATTCAGTAGTGTAATGATGTACCATTTATGAAGGGGGCAGTTTCTATGGGTGGGACACAGTCAGTGGCTGCACCCACACAGCTCTTCCAAAACAGGCCTCCCTTTAAAATCAAGGGCTGGCTCGTCTGCTGGTGGTGTGAACTCTGGGGATGGTGGACCACCCCCACCCCCTGTGCCAGACACAAGTCTTTTTTTAAATAGATAAAATAAAAACAGGGATGGAACATNCCCCCACACACACACACATCTCGTCTAAAACAGGCCTCCCTTTATTTAAATCAAGGGCCAGCTCTTCTGCTGGTGTGAACTCTGGGGATGGTGGACCACCCCCACCCCCTGTGCCAGACACAAGTCTTTTTTTAAATAGATAAAATAAAAACAGGGATGGAACATGTGAGCAGCACATTCTGATGAATTAGTACAAGTCATTTGTACATTGTAGTCAACATTTGTTCCAGGTAGACCTACTTACCAGTCTGCAAAACGTTCTTATATTTAGTTTTTGGTCCAGTTATGTTGGAACTGTAGAAATATCAACAAGATGTGGAACAAAAAGAGAGTAACAAGAATGAGTTCACACTTTGTATTACGGACTTGCACTGTTCAGTTTTAAGTTTAAAGTTGTTCATTGGAGCAATTAACAGATAAATCCTTGAATATGATTATAATGTTTTCTATTAAGAGTAGTAGTAAGAACATTTTTTTATTTCAGGCATTCAGGTGATCCACTGTTGCTTGCCATGACTTTGTCTCTCCTTTATAGTGGCAGTGTTTCCTTTCTTTAGTATGATGTGCTTCATTTCCTCATCTAAGTTTCCGAACATTAGTTTCCATGACGCCATACTTCGACGCTCCTAAAAATCCTCCACCCATTTCCAGATGAAAAAACTCCTCAAGACCACAGTTTTCAAGTTTCAACTGTTTATCTCAAAAACAAAATAATACAAAATATATGTCTCTAAACGTAAAGAAAAGAACAACATAACTTTAAAAAAGAGAAGCTGAGAGAGAATTAGAGAGAGGTCAAAAACTGTCTGGCTCCATGCCTGTTCTCCCTCCTCCTGTCATTAACAAACACCTCCCCCATTTGTTTCAAAGCTCATTAAATTCACATTTTGAAGTCATTCATATATACATGTAAATAGCATGTTGTCTTATCAAATATATATTCAACAATTATTATTGAAAACACACAAATATTACCTTTTAGCTATAACCATGTCAGAAATTCTTTTTGTTTTTTAACCTTTTTACCTTTAATAAACAAACAATAGGGTATTTAGGCTCCTACAGCTCATAAGTCTTCATTTGGTGAGAAGTATGGTGCCCTCAGTGTCTCCAGTTTAGAATCAGTGAATCTGTGATCGATCTCATGGTCTTTAGACGAGCATTTAGCTGGATTACTTCCACCTGGCTTGACATAAATGCACCTCTTCAGTCTGGTTTGGCCTTTGTGAAACAGATGAAGCCAGAATGAACTGATCAAGTTATGTCAAGCCTAGATTTATCTCATAGTCTAGATTTCTCAATCCTGCTTTTGTGAAACAGCCCTCTGGTCCTGACCAGGTTTAAAGTGGAGCTAATTTAATCTGTTAATGTTTCTGAGCAGTAGACAGTCACTTCACTGTAAAAACTGTTCATCTAACCAAGTCTTACAATCTTATATCAGCTAATATGTATTTTTGATCTTGTTTTGAGACTGATTTACTGAGCAAGATCAGAATATGTTGGATTATTATTCTTCTTAACCTGAAAAGTTTTTTTTTTTAATTTCAAGACGTCTTTGTGCTCAGATTATCTGTAAAAAAAAAGTTTAAAAAACAGCTTCACCTTTAATTTACTCTCAGAGTCTGTGAGGAAATGCCATTATGCCAAGTCCCCCCACACCCACACCCATGCACCCCCCACCCATGTGCATCCACTGGAACCTGACCCCCACTCCCTTCCCCCTCCCGCTGGTAACACACATGAATGCACACAGATGCCCATTGGGTCAGTCTCCTTCCCTTCCCAGCTGCTCTCCGGTCATTTCCTGAATTTCCATCATTTTAAAGGATCCCCAATTAGTTGTAACATTAGACTTTATTTAATAAACATATATTTTAACTGTAAAATAAAGACTGTAAAAATACTGTAGGATGTTTAGTTTTTATAATTTTTAAACTAAAAGTTTAAAAATATATTACA